ATGAAAAACACACATTTAAATGAAAATCAGAAGCACCTGAGGGAGACAGCAAAAGCGATCAAATTTCAAATTCAAACAGTGCCTGGCCCAGTAAGAGCCACCACTTCCCTGTTGATGGCTCTGCACCCACCGAGTCACCCTGCATCCAGATTAGCAAAGAAAGGAGCCAGAAGAGGCTCAGGCCACGGAGGAGCAGCGGCTGGGGCTGGACAGTGCCCGAGCCCACGGCAGGAGAGCTCTCCCCATGCATCCTTATGTTTTCCCAGCAAAGGGCTGAAAGGCCAAGTGCGCAGCTACTCCCCGTGTTTAAAAAGAAAAACACACGTACAAACACAAAAGCGTGTGCCCACGTCTGCACGTACAATAGACACGGAAGTGCAGCGGAGCACCAGGTGGCGGTGGCTTCTGGGCGAGGAGACCAGGAGGCCAGAGAGGGGTGGAGACTCACTCTTCACTTTTGTTCTCTTGGATTTTGGGAGAGCTACAGTAACCTATTAACAGTAATTAAGTATTTAATTTCAAAACAGGTTTTTCACATGAAAATTCAACTTAAAAAGTTAACAAAACTTTAAAAGTAGCTGGGTTGGAGGCACACATCTGTAATCCTAGCATTCGGAAGGCTGAGGCAGGAGGATTGCTGTGAGTACAAAGCCAGCCTGGGCTACATAGTGAGTTCAAGGCCACCCTGAGCTGCATTGAGACTTTGCCTTAAAAAGCCAAAAACAAAACAAAACAAACCTTAGAAGTGAGGAAACAAAGGTGAAAAATGAGGCCCACTCTTCGAGTTCAGATCTAATATGCTTCTCCAGTGCTCACTCAGGAGACGGGGCCTGGCGGGACGGGTCAGTGGGACATGACCTGGTGGGGCTTTCTTGCCCTCCCCCGCCCTCCTGCTTCCTGGCTGCCATATGCAGAAACCTCTTCCTCCACCTGCAGCTGAAACTCAGCCAACACGAGCCTCTCCGGCAGAGCGTGGTGTCAGCATGATGCCCAGGGCCAGGGAAGCCACATGGCCACCATCCATGAACCCTCTAAGAGCTGGAGGAGCTGGTACCCAAGCTTCTGTGAGCAGATGGGTGTCGGTGGCAGCCCAGGACCTGAAGACACGCCCCCCCCAGGCTGCCTCACACATGGCAACCCTCTCCTAGGAACCAGGCTGGGACCAAGCCTTTGCCACGTGGCCTTTGGGAACCCTGCAGATCCAAACTACAGCAAGAGACTCAAGCTACTGAGTGGTTTCTAGACAGGAAAACGCGGCTGGGCATCCTTGCAGAGGAGGGCAGAGTCTCACTACCAAAGAGAGAGACAAAGACGCCAGCTCCATCAGAAGCCTTTGTACCAAAACAACAAAACCCTGGAACTAGAGCTTTCAATGGCTCCACTCATCTGGTCGCCACAGGAGCGCCTTTGCCCAGTGTCCACACACAGCTGCAGGCAGCTCAGTGCCGAAGGGGAGCAGTGCCCACGTCAGTGCCCAGAGCAGGGCCAGAGGCACACGAAGAGGGAGGCACTGTGCCGCACCCACCAGAACAGGAGTTTTAGCTCGAAGCCAGAGGCCTCAGGGAAGGCAGAGACTGCAAAGGGTTTTCCCCTGTAAAGCAGCCTGAGTATACACAACCAGGGTGGTAAAGTCAGTCTCTGACCCATAATTCTATTTTGGGATCAAAATGCTCCTCTTTCAATCAGCGCTTTTTATATTAATAGAAAAATGGTAAGTGCATTGTAACAGTATTTTATTTTCTAAAATATAAGTATGTATTAACATTTTTTTTGAGACAGACTTGCTCTGTAGTTCATGCTGGCCTTGAAGTCATATCAATTCTTCTGCTTCACTTCCTGGGTGACTGATTACAAGCGTGTGTCTTGTATGTTTTTTGTTCTGTTAGTCTGGTCATTAATCTGTGTTTATAATTAACTTGATAAGGACATAAATAAATGAATCTGATGTTGGCAAAAATAATTTAAAAGGGTTAAAGAGGAAGGAAAAAGAGAAAAATGAGATGTTGTGAACACGTCCCATTTCCCTAGAATGAAAGTAATCATTGCAAATATGTACTAATATCGTTTTTTTAAGTGTAAACTATTCTAATTTAAACATGTGAAACAGCATTCGGTTAAATGCAGCCTACCAAACAGTAGGCACTTGCTGAACTATAGAACAAGGTCTACGAAGAGACACTATCATGGGTAGAAAACGAATTCCGGGGAGCCGGGTGGGGCTCCTCGGTATCGCCCTTGTCGGGCACGACCAGTTCCCAGCGCTGCAGAAATGGAGTCTGCAGGGGACTCCAAGGAGCAGGGTGACACAGACGCCTTTGGGCTTCGCCCTACAGCAGTTGGGCCTCTGGTTGCCACGCAGGCCCAGGGTGCGGCTCCATCCGGACGTCCCCTGGGCGCAAGCCGCTCTGCCCCGCGACCCTCGGCCGTGCACGGAGACCTTCACTGCCCGCGCGCCAAGAGAAGCGTCTGCTCCTAAGCCCGTGGCTGCGCACCTGGGTCCCGGCGACCGGACAGGGGCGGAGCCCGGACACCACCGCACCGGCAGCCGGCCGGGGCTGGCGCGCCACCTAGTGGCTGCGCGGGAAACGACAGCGCGCACGGCGGAAGCTCCGGAGCCGCCGCAGGCTCCGACCGCTCCAAACGCGCTGCTTCCGGTGCGCGCCGGCCAGCGCCTCGGCCGCTCCGCCTGCAGCCTCCGACCTGAGGCCTAGCCTCCGTCCCTGCGCGGGACACCCCCGGGCGGACGACAGAGGGCGGCGCCTTCACCCCTGCGCTCCCTCTCCTCGGGGGCGCAGCACGCGCAGGCCGGGGTGCAGCGGGCAGGACACCTCACCAGCAGCCGTGAGAAGCGGGTGCTGTCCCTGGCACTAGGGAAAACCTGCTGCCCTTTGGAAATGGCTCGCTTGGCCGAGAGCACTGTTCCGGCCATTCACTGAAGACCGGCTTTGGGATGCTGTGGGAATTCAGAGAGCAGCGTCTGACTTCCAGTCTGCGGTAATAGAAATGTCACCGGCCGCCTGAAAGGACGTCGTCCCAGTGACAAGGCCGGCCACGCTGGCAGGCAGGGAATGGGGACAGAGTCTCTGGAATGGGATGCTGAGCCTTCCCCTCCCGGCTTTGGTTTGAGTCCCCTTTGGCTGACCTCTCTCCTCCTCCTCCGGTCACTCAGCAGATTGTCCCTCACCCCTGAGGGTCACAGCAGGAGGCAGCCAGCACAGCTCCCCCCACCCCACCCCCCGCGGCCTGTGACGGTTCTGAGCCCGAGGCAGATGCAGGTGGGAAGGGGAGGCTTATCCAGGGCCAGCTCCCCACTCGGTCTGGGGGCCAGTACTGGGCTTTGGGGGTCCTTACACCCCTGCTCCATCCCTGCTCCCATGCCGGGCTGTGCCCCCATCCCCTCTCTGCTGCCCAACCTGGCTGCCCAGCCTGGTCCGGAAACACTGGGAACCCTGTTCCCTTCAGTGTGTCTCACCACAGCACCCTGCTGGACCCACACTAGCTGGAAGTTCTAGGTATGCACAAAAGGAAACGGCGCAAGTGCTACAGAATGGCAGCGATGGAAAGTTCAGGAATATATGGCGTCAGTCTGCAAAATCCGTCCGCAAAACTGACTCCAGCCCTGGTCTTCCTTCCCAGGCTCACTCAGCACTGACTGAAGGACAGGTGACTTGAGTTTCCGGCTCTACTGGCCTGGAGGGACCCATGCGATGTCCTTCCTGGGCTGTCCCACCAAAATGCAAACTCCAGTCTACTTCTGAGTGAACACAAGATAAACCTGTGCAGAGAGATGCTCTACCAAGCTGGTGCTGCACTCGGAAAGCACCAAGGTCAGAGAAGGTGACCATTGCCAGCCGCAAGACCTCAGGAGATGAAGGGCCACCTCAAGGATACTGGCGCCAGGGAAAACCTCAGCTATGCATTGTATGTTAGGTAACAGCCTCCCATCAAGGCTCCATTTCCTGAATTAATTATTTGTTTATTTATCTATTTTTGCAGCACTGGCGATTGAGCCCAGGGCCTTGACACTGAGCTGCATTCCCTGCTCTTTTTATTTTTTGAGACATGGTCTGAATTACCCAGGCAGATCTTGAACTTGTGATTAGGAGGTGTCTGGTAAAGTTCCTGACGTGAAAGCTGCTCACAGTTTAAAGGAAGCAGTCTGCTTGCACAGAGAGCAACGGCACGGGAGGTGATGAAGCAAAACGCTAAGAATGAGAGATGGTAGAGATAGCAGTTCTCTGCTCCTGTAAGTCTGAATTATTTCTAAGAAAAGAAAGAGAAGCCAGGCATGGTGGCACACACCTGCACACCATCATTCAGGAGGCTGAGGCAGGAGGATCAGGGTGAGCTCCAGGCCAGCCTGAACTGCAGAGTGGAACCTTGTCTCAGAGAGATAGAGAGAGAGAACGTAAACCTAGAAGAACCTTCAAAGCCCTTTGTCCTGACCTCCTTTTGAGTAAGAACATGAGAGTTTGCAGGCAGCGTCCACACCGGCTGTGCTGCAGAGCTGTCCTGGGGGAGGGGAGAGGTCAGACATTTGGCCCTGAATCCCCCTCAGCAAGAACTCTAATTTGCCTCTTGGCTTCTGATTAACCGTGACATCATTGTTGGCCGTCTGGTCCAAGGGAGGGTTTGATGCCATGTTCAAAATAATGACAGGTGGTGATCAAGGGGTGCACCCTTTAATAGCATGAAGACTTGTGATTCTAATCAGGTCAGCTATTTCTTTTTTTTTTTTATAATTTTTTTGGTCTTTTTCATTTTTATCGGTACTGGGGATCGAACTCACGGCCGCCTGCTTGCAAGGCAGGTGCTTATGCCGCTGAGCTAAATCCCCAGCCCTGAGCTAAATCCCCAGCCCAGGTCAGCTATTTCTATCATATCCATTTTACAAATAAGGAAACTGAGGCCCAGACAGGGTAAATAAATTTCACAAGGGTAGGAAGCTACTGGTGGAGCAGTCAGAAATAGAAATCTCCTCCACCTGGTTCAGCATTGAAGCCCTCGACCGAAGCACACTGCCAGCCACCGGACACGGAGAGCCCTTCTGAGCCAGCCTTCCAGCCACAGGGGCTTTTCCTGCCAGCCCCTTCTTAGCACCAGGGTCAGATCTGGTGCTGTGTCCAGTTCCCTGCTGGAGACAGTGTGACGGTATGAGGAACAAGGGAGGGTCCCGGCCCCTTCTCTGGCATCTGTAGGTCTGAAATGGGGGGGGGGGGGCGCCCTGCACACCTGCGCTGGGAGGAGCGTGGCACATGTGCCCCAGCACAGGATCTTCGGGCTCCATTGGCTCTGCCATCCCTCCACACGGCACTCTCCTGCTGGACACAGGCAGACGTCCACCTGGCAGCCCGCAGTCTCACCGGAGGGAGCCCTGGTGGCTTTTCACTTCCCATCCCCACAGAACCAAGCACAGGGCCGCAGCCTCCTCTGCACTGGGCTGGGCCTTGCCCAGTGCCCTGCCTTTCCTTTACCCCACTGCTGCAAGGGCAAGGCGTGGCCTACACACAGGGGCCACTAAAATACCCAGGGATGTTTGGAAAAGGTCTTGCCAGAGAAGACACATTGCCACAGATCCTCCGGACAGTGCCCCCCCCCCCCCGGTCCCCACACACTTTTCCTAGGGCTCTCTCCACTCTCCAAAGCAAGTCTGGAGGTGCTCTTTCTGGAGGGTCTTCACAGGGTGCAATAAACCACAGTGAACGCTGCTCCTGTGCTATCCCAGGGAAAGGCAGACTTGTAAACACGCCCCCACCCTCCCCCTCGCATACACCCCCACCCTTGCCCCTGCCTTCGCCCTCATCCACATCCTCACCCTTGTCCCATACCAGTGAGGAGCCCTGACACAGGACCCTGTACAGCAGCCTGTGTGGGCCGCAGAGCAGCCTCCACATGGAGACCCCTACTCAGGGCCCCTGGCAGCCTGAGGGGGCCCGAGGCCTCTGACCCACAGCACCTGTAGTCCCAGCACTCTGGAAGGCTGAAGCAGGAAGGTTGCAAGTTTACAGCCAGGTTGGGTCACAAAAACAAGAAGGACTTGAGGTGTAGCTCCGGCTAGAGGCCCTGGGATTAAGCTTGAGTACTGCACAAAGGGAGACAGACACAGAGAGAGAAAAAACAGGAGGAAGTGGAGCCAGTTATCTCTGTCCGCTGGGATCAGACGGAAGTGGGAGGAAGCAGCCCAGTGGGGTCCAGTCCACCAGGGCTGTGTGACAAACCACCTCTGCGTGCAGGAGCCACAGAACGGCCATTTGATCATATTTCGAGAATTCATGGGACAGAAACTGCCAGGGCGTGGAGGGAGCTGGACAGCACTTGGGCCTCTGTCAGAGATTCCCAGGCTGGCCCGAGCTACCCGAAGCCGTCCCTGCACACACGAGTGGGGTGAGGGCTGGGAGCACAGCAGAGGCAGATACCCAGGGACTTCCTGGGGGTGGGAAGGGGGAGCTGTCGGGTCCTTGAGGCCCGGACCCCACACTGCTGCCTTTGTCTCCTCCAGAGGTTTGTATGTATGCCTGGCCACCAGCCAGGCCACACCTTCCCCCTCCGATCACTTCACAGCCTGTGGACAAAGCCGAGCAGCTTCAGGCCCTCAGGAACACCCAGTGGGCCCAGTCCTGCAGGCTCCAGCCCCCTGTGCCGTGTTCCTACCACTCCATGCCTGCATAGCAGGCACCTCCCTGGTTCCCCCAGGAAGCAAAAACAGGGCCTAAGAATGGACTCTCCGGCAATCCTTGCTGAGAGCTGCAATGTTTGTAATGTTTTATTTTATGTTGTGGTGCTGGGGGTCAAACCCTGGGCTCCTGCATGCCAGCCAAGTGCTCTGCCCCTGAGCCCCAGCCCCATTTTTTTTTTTCTTTTTGAAACCAGGTCTCACTATGCAGCTCAGGCTGCCGTGACCTCACAGTGATCCTCCTGCCTCAGCCTCCTGCATGCTAAGACACAGGTGTGTGCCCACACCCCTAGCTCAGGAGCTGCAAACTCTTTGCTGCCATTGGTGTCTGGGAGGAACTCTCTCCTTCAAGTAGGGAACTTCTTGCTCTTTCCACCTGTCACCCGGAGAAGGTCCAGCCCCAGGCATCTGACCAGCTGCAGGAAAAGCCTCCACAGGGCAGGGTGAGGTTGGGACTGCCAGCACACCCATCCTCCATTTTGTCCAAGCCATGTACGCCTCAGGCTAAGGGAAAGGAGGGCTAATGAAACAGGTTTTTAATATCGTCAGTGACTGGGCTTTGGTTTTTAAGTTTCTTTTTCTTTTTTTTTTTTTTTTTTAGGTACCAGGGATCAAACTCATGACCTCACCCTTGCCAAGCAGGTGCTTATGCCACTGAGCTAAATCCCTAGCCTGGGCTTTGGGCAGTTTTTTGATACCAGGAATCGAATTCATGACCTTGTACCTGCCAGACAGACATTTGTGCTGCTGAGCTATATCCTTGGTCCACTGGGCTTTGGTTTTTAAATGGATCACAAAATTTTCTAAGACTACTGACAATTTTTTTAATATTATACGTTTGGGGTTTTTTTCCAAATCCATTTTATTTCAAGAGGAAAAAAAAGAAAAACTAAAACAAAAATTCAAAACAGATCAATCAGGGGCAACAATGGCACATACATCATTGTGCACTGTCATCCCCAAATCATTCACCCAGAGCACAGAACATCTGCCTTCAGCTGTCTGCACAATCTCAGCACAAATCTTTCTCTTCAGTGAACGCATAGAAATCAGCAGTATAGCTATCTTAACTATTTTATATGCATACATATATATATACACATAACCATGTTTGTTTCAGCTTCTCACACTAATGAAAAAATACAATGTTTACACATGTGTGTCTTATTTCACTAATGAGTATGGTCTCAAGTTGCATCCATTTACCTATAAAAGTCTTCAGTTTATCCTTGTTTATGGCCGAGTAGTACTCCATTGTATAAAAATGCCACATCTTTTTTATCCATTTTTCAGTCAATAGGCATTTAGATTGTTTGCAAGATCTAGCTATTACAGATTGTGCTGGGTGCACAAACATGGGTGCACATATATTGCTGTGATATGATGTGTTTTAATTTTTTGGGAAGATATCCAGAAGGAGGATAGTTGAATGGGACCCCTAGTCCTAGGTTTTTGAGGAATCTCCACACTGATTTCCTCTACACTTCCACAAACAGTGGAAAAGGATTCTTTTTTCCTTACAGCCCCTCCAGCATGTGTTATTGGTTGATTTCTTTCTGGGGTGAGGTGAAATCTCAGTGTTGTTTTAATTTGTATCTCTTGAGTGACCAGTGATGTTAAACATTTTTTCACATATTTATTTGCTGTTTGTATTTCATCTGAGAAATTTAAAGACCCAGTCCAAAAATGGTCATCTGAAATGAATACACACTTCTTAGTAGGCATCATAATCCCTGACTTGAAATTATACTATAAAGCTACTGTGATAAAAAAAAAAAGTGTGGTACTGACAAAAAACAGACCTGAAGATCAATGGAACAGATTAGAAGATGCAGAAACAACTCCAGACACTAAGCCATCTGATCTTTAACAAAGATGCCAAACTCATCACTAGAAAAAAGATAGCCTCTTTAATAAATAGTGCTGGAGGGGGCTGGGGGTTTAGCTCAGCGGCATAAGCACCTGCCTTGCAAGCAGGCGGTCGTGAGTTCGATCCCCGGTACCGATAAAAATGAAAAAGACAAAAAAAAAAAAAAAAAAAAAAAAAAAAAAAAATAAATAGTGCTGGAAACAATGGCTCTACACATGCCAAAGATTAACACTGGACCCCTATCTTTCACCATGTACTAAGCTAAAAGCAGAATGGATCAAAGGTCTTAATATTAAAACTGAAACATTAAATCTGTTGGAAGATAGAGTAGGTAACACTCTGGCAAACATTGGTGTAGGCAAAGACTTTATAAAACAAGATCCAGGTTGCACAGGAAATACCACAAAGAATAAACAATTGGGATCTCACCGTAGTGAAAAGCTTTTGCACAGCAAGATAAACCACAAACAGAGTGAAGAGACAACCCACAACATGGGGGAGATGTTTGCCAGCTGTTCCTCAGATAGAGAATTACTACCCAGAACATAAAAAGAACTCGGAACAAATCAGTCCTCCTAGATTTATAGACTGAATTCAAAAATGAGCATCTGAGATAAATATACACTTAATAACTCTAGTAGATTTTTGGTGGAGATTTTGGGATCTTCTAAGTGGCGTATCATGTCATCTGCAAATAACAATAGTTTAACTTCTTCCTTTCCCATCTTTATTCCTTGTATTTCCTTCTCTTGTCCAGTTGCTCTGGCTAAAGTTTCCAGGACTGCGTTGAGTAGGAGTGCAGACAGTGGACACCCGTCCTGTTCCTGATTTTACAGTGAAAGCTTTCAGTTTTTGTCCGTTTACTATGATGTTGACTATTGGTTTTCTTTTTGCTCTCTGTGGGCTTCAATTCACACTTCAAATTCTTCCTGGGTCCAAGAGACCTGCTTCTTTCCTTCTCAGCTTCCTCAAGATGCTGTATCCAGCATCTTCACAGCTTTGATTTTTAAGTGGATCACAAAATTTTCTAAGACTACTGACAAATTTTAAAAAATACTTTAGGATATGTGTGTGTGTGTGTGTGTGTGTGTGTGTGTGTGTGTGTGTGTGTGTTTGTCTGGGTTTTTTGTTTTGTTTTGTTTGCAGCACAAGGCTCAAGCCCGGGGCCTTGCACAGGCCAAGTAGACATTGTATGCTGAGCCACACCCCAGGCCTTCATACTGATTTCAGAAGTGTTGTGATATTTCTAAGCGTAGTGCTCAGTCCCTGCATTGAAGCAAAGCCATGGGCAGGCTTCAGTCCCAGTCGTCCTCAGGGAAGAAATTCCAGCTTTTTGACTTAGTTTCCACTTGAATTTAACAAATGTTTACAGCACACCACGTCACAGTGGCAGTGTGGGAAGGCCAATCACAGGAGAGGCCAGAAGCGCAGGGGCGACTGTGAGCCGCAGCCAGGCTGAGCACCCGAGGTCCCAGAGTGGCCTACAGACGGTGACAGAGGAAGGGGGCGAAGTGCCAGACTAAGGCAGGGCTTCTAGGAGCAGCCCAGGGACAGACGCCGGTCAGGAGGCCAGCAGAAGCTGTGGTCGCTGAGCCGAATGTTCTTCAACAGCTGGGGAAACAGGTGGGGGGAGTGGGGACGCCCAGGCCCCTCCCCAGTGACCCCAACTGTCCGCCCAGGCTGGGCACCCACACCTGTTTGGCGCTGTTTGAGTTCTTCCTTTCTCACCCAACGCCAGGATTTAGAGGCAAATGGGTGACAACCCTGGGAATGTTGGCACTTGTGTCTGCTAATTAATGTCCACTGGCTGCCACATGACTTTATCCAGGGCTCAGAAACCTTTCTTAGTTATAACAACATCAAACCTTTTCTTTCCAAAAGGGCAATTCACTCAAAATGAAAATTTTAAAACAGGCTGACAACATGGTAGGCAGAAATCCAACAGCAGGCAGCCAGGGCCCCTGAAAAGCAAGACAGGATTCTTCCTTGACTTTCTTAATCATTAGCTAGAGATCAAATCCACAGGAGCCCTGCTCTCGGCTAGCTCCAGAGCCATGGCCTCCTCTGAGTGTGACTCAGGGTCCTCTGAAGTCCAGCCCTGAGCAAGGGGCCCCGCACTGAAGCCGAGGTGGAAAACGGGGGCCAGGAAGAAGCAGGACTGGCAGACTGCACCTGCTTGCCCATTAAAGGATGATGGCCTTGCAGGGAGGGAAGGTGCCCCCAGAGGGACCCAGTCAATAGAGAAATGCAGCCCAGACCTTCTTGGGGCCCACCTTGTCCTTGGGCACCTTCAGGTTGCACTCACCACCCCACCCTGGCTCTCACACTCACTTTGAAAATCTTTCACTTTGCATGAAAACTTTCTGAGCAGCATGCACGGCTTCCATGTCTTATCTAAAACCTTATGCCAAAAACAGGAAGACACACGAGGTCTTACCATTTCCCTGTAGCTTAGGACCTCACAGTGAGTGTGGGACCTGGCTCCAACCCCAGCACCACAAAAAAAGTGTTTTGGTTCTGCTTCATCGCATTTTTGCAACAAGCACAAGAAGTGGTAAAAGGGTTTGGGCACCTTGACCAAGGGAAGGGAGCAGTCCTCGGGAAGCACGAGCACGGCAGCCCTAGGAAGGGGCTGGGAAAGTCAGGCAGGACAGGCGGGGCTGCCACCCGGTCTGAGGATGGCCAGCTGCAGCTGTGGTCTTCGTGCTGAGGGCCAGCAGTCCAGAATGTTTGCAATAAGACATGCTTGACACATCTTACAGCTGTGATGGGAAAGTCTGATGCTGCCCTTGCTTTTTTAAAAACTGTTTTGAGTTGTTATGAGCATGTGTATGTAATGATCACATCCATTGTGGGGAGCTGGTACCTGAATCTGACACAGCTTTATTGTTTTTACAACCCCTTCTGTCTCTTGGCTCCCTTCTGTTACAGCTGTGTCTAAATGGCCCCCCATAAGTCTCCCGAGGTCAGAGGACTTTTCTGGAGGAGGCTGAACCTAGAGAGTGTGATTGATTGGTGGTGTGGTGCAGGGCACTGCTGGGGTTAAGGGTGGGTGATGCTGATCTGCTGCTGGTCGCACTGGCGCTGCCCCAGTCCTGTGGACTGGTTACAGCCTGAGAGCACACGGAGGCTGGTCTCCCTCCTCCACGCTGCTTCTGCTGCCTTCTGCCACCATGAGCCGTTTGGGGCCCTCTGCCACGTGCCACCCTGCCTGGGAGGCAGCCAACCATGATCTGAAACCTCTGTGTACTGTGAGATAAATAAACCCGGCCCCCTCTAACACTGGGCTTCAGCTCTTTTGTCTCATCAATAAGAAAAGTAACTGAGACACCTTCCCATTTGCAAAAGATCTGTCTTCCTGTGTTCTGTCATCTGTCTTTTATTTTGCTCTTTAAATTATGTATGCTTTGGGTTTTTCTCGTAAGAGAAGTTTTATAACAACCATGAGCCTTTCATGAATTCCAATAGAGAGCTACATAGAAAATGAACTAAGAAGGACAGAGACTTTTAAGTAAGTTTGTTTTCTAACCTGTTGAGCGGTGAAGTAAAATTATGCCAGCCCAACAGAAGCTTACAGATGGAAACTCGAGGATGCCCAGGGCCGCGCTGCCTCAGCACCACTGGCAGGCGATCTGATCCTCTGCCGTGGGTCTGGTCCGCAGAGGCCCAGGTTTCCCTGCAGCGTCCCCGAGGGGAGGGAAGGGCTGAGCGCAGGACGAGGAGTGTCCCTGGTACAGGAAGGCAGCTTGCAAGACTCCATGGCCGTGTTGCCTTTTAAAGTACGGGGCCAGGTCCTCCGGCGCGGGAGGGTCTGGGCAGCACAGCAGTGTGGGGTGGGTCTGCCCCGTCCCGGGCTCAGGGCACGTCCGTGCAGGACCAGCCTTGGAGCCAGGGCTGGCAGCAGGGCCTCTGCTCGCCCACTGTCCACTGAGGCCCAGTGCGCCTGCTAGGGGGCAAGCGGCCAGGCCCTCAAGCCCAGCCCAGGCAGCTCCAAGGCGCCCGTGCAGCGCTGCAGGCCTGGTGCGGTGCTGCTTCCAGACGACCTCTTTCTTTTCAGCTTTTTAAATGTTTTAGAGGCGAGCACCCAAGAGAATCCTTTTAAGGGTAATTTTCTTACGTTTTTTACTCAATATTTAAAAACTCAGTCATAAACCTTGTTCACAAAAAAAGGTTTCCTGAAATATAAAAATCAATCCCAAACAATGTGTGTGCCCAGCCCAGGGAATGGCCACCAGCTGGACACCTTCGCCTCTGAGCATGTGCCATGCGTAGAGCAAAGGCTCGACACTGCAGAGCCTGCTTCCTGCCTGCAGAAACCTCAGCACTGGCAAATCTCTACCCAGTCAGAGGCAGCACCTCTCTGCAAAGCAAGGCACGCTCAGTGCCTCAGTTTCCACAGGTGCAACTGACTCACAGTGGTACCGAATGCCCCGGCACCAGTCTTAAAAGAGTTCCACCACCCAAAGGTGGAGGTAGCACCTACAGGCCTCCCTAGTCAGGAGGCTGAGGCAGGGAGGCTGCTTGAGCCCAGGAAGCTGAGGTCAGCCTGGGCAGCACAGCAAGGCCACACCTCAAAATAATGCACTGCCAATAGTGACATGAGATCCAAAATAAAGTATCTTAAATCAGATAGTTACCATTTCCCTGTTAAATACATAAATCCAAAAAGAGCTCGGCAGTTACCATCAGGCTTAATCCTCTCCGGGAGCCACAAACTCCAGGGCGAGTTTAGCTGAAACTGGGCCATGAGGGTCACCCCAGCACCCAGGGTGGTTATGAGGTTCCATGAGAGTCTAAGAACAGAAATTCTGCTTCCCAAAACAGCTCCAGCTTCCAGGAAGGCTGTTACTCAGAAGAGTTAAGTTCAATAACCTCGTAAAGCTTTCCAGCCACGGTTTTTGTGATTGTCTCAGCCCAAACACAGTCAGCCTGGCTCCTGGGATAACGTGATTCTATTCAAGTCTTTCCAAAGGGGAAAATGTAAGAAAAAACTCCTATCTGATTGGATCTAAGAGGATAATTATGCTTTCTAAAAATAAATTGAGCCTACGCCAAGAAAATGAAACGTTTTATAAAGAAGGTCAGGACTGCTTTTCCATCTCCTTGACTCACCGTGTGATTTACTTTAATAGCAGCCTGGCATTTCAGACTGGGGACTCGGCAGCCTGAGAACGGCCACAGCTCATTGGCCGTGACCACCGCCCTGCTCTGGAGAGCTGGTTGTTTAGTCACAACAGAGCATTGTCACCCCTGGTTACTATTTCCCAGGCACAAAGCTTGGGGCCGCGGATGCTTTCCCCTAGAGACAGTAAGAGGGAAAGGTGGCTTGGGGCCTGGTGTTGGGCAGAAAGGGAAAAGGAAAGAACAAGAAAAGAGACAGACTGGGTGGAGGTGGCTCTGAGGGGTTCGGATCCCTGGAGCCTCTTCCCGACTTTACTAGTGGGAGGGAAACATCTGGGGAGTGAAGCTCCACTGAGCGGCTTCTCCTTCAGAGAGTCAGACTTTCTCAGCTTAGCTCCTTCCTTCCAAAGCCTGAGAGGGTCGCTGTCTGGACTACAGAATCCCAGCAGCCCCGCAAAGAGAGTAAGAACCCTGACTTAAGTTCCCTCAGGGCAGTGGCTCCCAGGCAAGCTCCTG